CTTTGTGCACGAGTTCCTTGTGGAATTAAAACTTTAAATGTCTTCATACCCTACAAATGCAATTCATGCAGCAATTGAATAAGTGGAGCCTACGTGGGTGTGCATTTAATCTCTAGGGGGTTCGTTTTCTCTAGCTGCAAAGCAATCGTAAGTGGGTTGCCCAAGATCACAGCACAAGGCAGTGACGGAGCTGGGAATAGGACTTGGGTGAACGTTGCTCTGGGGCTCTGCCTCACTTGGTTTGCAGAAGTACCCCTCGTCTCTCGGATGCTATCACAAGTGCCTCCTGTGTCAGCTCAATGTCAGCCCAGCATCCTGGCATGCGCTGAACCACTCCACGTAATATTTCACATTTATCTCCGTGCCAGAAGTAGGAAGAGGCGATGTCCCCAACAAATCGAGAACGAGATTAACTTCAGGAAAAAGTTGTCATTGCTCTGTCGGCACTGACATCCTTGGATAAAGCAGTGCTGGAGAAATGGTGAAGTGTGGCTGTTGTCCTGGCTACGCTTGTCCAGCTTTGCAAACATCCCCTCGCGATGCTGCGGTTGCTTTGGTGAGGAATTAAAGTTGCGGTTGAAAGTGGGAACGAGATCCACTACGGAGCAGATGCAACTTTGGATGCAAAGCTCATGCTTATTCTGTTTTCCGCATGCTGTGCGTGCTCCAGAGGAGTTGCTGCTGTTGAGAGCGCTGCTCTATGCAAGCTAGTCTTCAGAAAATTTGTACTCTTAAATACCCTGTGCAGGCTCCAAGGGGTGCCTGATTATCAGCGCGACATACACTCGAGACTGCTGTGAAGTGTGGCTTTGGGTTTACTTCTTTTTACAGACAGACTATAGGTTATTTGCATGAGTTAATAAGGCGAGAGAGAGAGAAAAACACATACAGACTTGGGGAGCACAGTCTATTTTGGTTGAAAATGTCTTTTCTGTTTTCCGTGAGACGGCAGTTGCTTGTCAGGTCTGCGCTGACAGAACTTTGAAGCACGCTTCAGTAATCTGTCTGCATTTCTTCGCTTCCCCTTGCTGTTTCCAACATGCTAAAAATCATCAAAACAGTGAAATACTGTCCCGTGGCTGCAGGAAGAGGAATGAGAATGTGTTCCCAGTATCCAATCATCTGCTTATTCTGCCTGTTCTTAAGAATAGAATTTATTGAAGCAATTTATCCTGACTAAATGTGATATAAATCTGAGCACATGTATGTACATACCAGTCATATTCTGTAGTGAACGAGCAGCTAAATCTTTCTTTAAAGAATGAGTGAATCCTCCTGACACTTTGCAAGATAGAGTAAACTGAGGTTTTTTGCAGTGTGTTGGTCCCGATTTTTTTTTTAATAGAGCTGCTTGTTACGCTATCAGAAGTAGCTGGCAGGCAGCCTGAAATGCCATTGGGTTTTTGTTTTGTTTTCCTGCTCTCCGTTTCAGTTAGTGTTATCAAAGCCCGGGGAGTGACAGCTGATCCATTTCTTTAATTTCTCAAATAGCTTTTATATGCATCGGAAGCATAAATATGAGGTAGAGACACCCCGAAGTTCTTCATATTGGCAAAGGCAGCAAGCTGCTTAAGTGACAGCGGTAAGGACAGATCTCTGCCTTGTGTTTAATTAAAAACAGCACAGGGTTGGCTGCCCTGTGAAATACAGCAGTCTCCCTCCATAATCATTATGCTGCATGTTTAACCGTAAGATTTGTTTGTTGATGGAAATAAACGCATCCCCAACCTCATCCCACACAAGCGAGTTTAAATGTGCAGGGGTGATTTAAACAGTCTTCAAACGCTTCCAGCACCAGCCTGACTTTGACAGCAAGGGGCATTACAACTGTCCTTTAAAGTTTTGTGACTTTGCTGCTGTCTCGGTACCACAGCTCTTAACTTGGAGCTGCCTCATCACTTGACAATTGCTGGATGCGGTGCTGGACCGGCAGAGGACTTGGGAATTTTGCGGTTAGTTTGAGACCAGGCTGTAAAAACTGATGCCCCAGGCTCCCTCTGTAGACCAGTTCACCAGCGTACCTGGCTGCGAGGACACTTGAGAGGAGCTTTCAGGCTCATGCGGCCGCGCGCTTAGCTCGCCAGCGCTAAGTATGGTCATTCCTGATGCTATTTACTTCGTCAAGGTGCCGTTCAAACACAACCCGCGAGCCCCCACGAGTGCAAACTTGTGCCCCTCACTTTGTAGGCAGGTAACCAACTTGTCAAAGCGTGCACGAATCATTGACTAAATAGGGATTAAGAAATCTGGAACTAATGACTCTTGTGTCTACCTTCAGCCTGATAGACAACACAGACTGCAGCTCCCGGGAGCATTGGCTGTGCTGAGAGCTGTGGGACAGATCCTTGTCTCTTATGGGCAAGGAAGACAGGCGCAAAGTAAGACTGTTGGGAGGGGAAAAAAACAAGGTCCAGGCTGCCCAAGACAGCAACCGTTGACCTTTATTTGGTCTGTGTCCTGATATCATAGTCGCCATACTGCAAAGGTGATGGTAAAATAACTCTAGTAGTCATCGAGTTGATGTTTCCTTTGTGTCTGGTCTGATTTCTCTTACTGTTTTCTTACAGAAAGAGTAGTAATTGGGCTGCCCTCTGCTCGAAGTGGGTGATGAAGGACTGAGCCCTGTGTCTTGACTCATGCAGAGCTGTAGCTTTTTGTGCAGCTAACTGGAAGGTTTAGGTGCAATATTTTTGGACCTCAAGTGCAGGTGATAAAAAGTGTTTAATCAGTTTTGTGCTTCTCTTCTTTGCAGTGTCAGGGATTTGATCTGAACAGTGGTTTGGTATTACAAGAAGGTTTGACCTCTTCATCCCCCCTTGCTAGAGACTACTTTTGCGTGTTAAAACTTCCTGAGGAAGCCTGGGCTTCTCTGTGCCTTCGGAGCAGGTCGTGACAGCAGCTCGTATGTCCGCTGTTAGGATGCAGCTGATGCATGTAAGTCAGCTGCTTTGGGGCCTGAAGGAAATTCCTCTTGGAGGAGGGTCAGTTGGTTGTGGAGAGATGGAGGCGAGATCCCCGTTCGTTTAGCAGGCAGGAGCAATGGGACAGTATTTTGGTTTCTCGAGTTCCCAGTTGGGAGCTTCGGTGGAAGTTCAGAAGGATGGTATGAAGAGTCCTACCTTTTTAATGTGTCCTCACTCAGACTCGTCTTGCTGTCATCTGCGCCCGTGTCACCTCAAGGCTAGCCTTTGCCAGGATTTAATCTTCCCGTACAAAGCTGCTGTCGTCTCCTGCCGCGCCACCCTCCAGTTCTGCAAGCCCCGTTTCACTTCTGTGGGCTTTTCTGGGGGGCTGCTGTGGTGGGTGGATGTTCCTGGCCATCTTTATTGCCTTTATTACTACGCTTGTCCTATGCTAGGGAGCGTTTTGGCTGCTCGCCTGTTCCATTTGTGAGAGGGCTATTTATCCTTTGTGAGTTCCTGTTTGCATAGGCCCTGGAGTTTTGCTTAATAAATCCAAACATAGTCTAGTGTTGTGGATGTCTCTCCCCTTTTTGTGGGAGAAGAACTGGCAGCTACTTTCTCATAGCTTTTGGTTGTTGCCGTTATGTGCTGCGGCTGAGCCAGCGCTCAGGGAGGGGAATTCCACCTCCTGTAGCCACCCATTTTAGCTGCACGCTGCCCTAGCGCATGGTAATAGAAAAATAATCTTTTTTTCATATTAAACAATAATTGATTTCTGTGTCTTTTCAATAAAAGCAAAAGGGGACTGTTTTCTGTAGCGCATGCATTCACCCTCTGCTGCTAAGTCGCATTCTTGGAGCACTTTCTCATATAGCTCCTAAAAATAACAAGTCTCCCCACCCTCTCGCGGCTGCTCAGTGTGTGTGTGTGCGCGCGCGCGTGTGTATTAATGGTTAGAAATGCAGAAAGCTAACTAAAAGAGCTTGTGTCTTCGTGAATGCGTTTTGGCCACGTTCTGGTTTCATTTCTGCTCTTGGCTGTAGCAAGCTGACATGCGTCGCTGAAGCCAAGTGCCGAACTTGGAGTAAGAGATGCTGGAAGCAACATGAACAGCCAGAACATGTTCGCACAGTAAACCCCCTGAAGAGATAGCATTTGCTTTATTATAGCTTTTTAAAATCCTGCTATAAAAATATCAGTGGGTGGAGGGAACCATTATTTCTTGAATTTGAGGTGGTGGGGGTTACTTTATTTACTCTTATTTTTTATTAATAAGAATAGCTTCACTTGTAGCGTAATAGGACCGAGTGTTTTGTTATCCTTGGCTATAATCTGTGATAAACTACTCCTGCCATCAGCCTTGTAGTTTACCCACTAGGGAGCCAGATTATTGCCTTGTAAAACAGAGCACCACTCCTATAATCCCTTAATTAATTAAATGACAAATTTTAGTTCTCTCCCATTGAAAATATAACTTGTACATAGAGAGGACTTGGATTTATTTGATCGCTTCTTGCTTGCACTTTTTTTTTTCCTGTAGATTGTCACTGTCTTTGCTTATGTGTCTGTGCTTTCTACTGTAAATACTAAGGGAAGGTGAAGCAGGCTGTGCCCTTCCTCGACATCCTCCATCTGGGGGATGTTTCGCAGGTCTTTGCTGCGCCAGGCGGCCCTTTGCAAGAGATGAGCGTTGTCCCCGTCTTGCAGGTGGTGACACTGAGACGCAGAAAGTCCCTTGGCCCTTCAGAGGGTTGGTGGTGGGCCCTGGTGGGAGCCCAGGCGTGGAAAACTCCTGCTCCTTTCCTACCCACTGGCCCGCGCTGTCTCACTGTCACGGTTCCCAATGAGCCCTTCTAGCCGCGATGCAGCGCTTTCTCTTCATATGTGAAAAATCGACTGGGCCCTCTGAAGTCTTATTTAAACTTGGGTTGGATTAATTTCTCTTCCCTGATTTTTGTCTAGGGCACAAAGAGATCCTCCTTCCCTGCGAGCACAGCGTTGATTAATTACAGCCATGCAAAGGGCAGCTTCTGCTCTTGATATTTTTAATTTTTTTTAGCTTATTTAACAATTTCCTCTTCTCTCCTTTCCCCTCAGCTTAGCTCAGCTGCATGAAATATGGGAGACGACAGGCCGTTTGTGTGCAATGCCCCCGGCTGTGGACAGGTACGTTTACAGTATACTTTATTGTGAATGTGTCGTTGTGAATCAAAGTGGCTGTTTTATCACTGAGGCAAAGAGTTTAAAGCCGGTGTTTTACGTGATCACTGGAGGTAATCAGATCAGAGGATTTGCAGTGTGTAAATCCAGGTTATGAGCAAGTGCAGGCACTCCAAAGTAATGAAATCTGCCTTGCTTTGTGGCGTATTGTTATTCTGCTGGTGTTTTCCATGAGACCCACACAGCCCAGAGAAAACATGCTGATCTCCTGTTAATGTTTTCTGATAACATTGCTCATCTTCTTTCAAGGCTATTTAACCAAAGGACAGATATTTGTTCTCTGTCGGGATGAGTTAGCTGCTATAGCATGCTATAGTAAAGCAGCTGAGAATGTGACAGTTGATGGTTTGTGTTATGCGAACCCCAAACTGCCGTAGTCTATTTTGGGCTTGCGAAAAAAGAAAAAGGACCCATTGTGAATTTTTCCTCCGCGGACAGCCTGCTAGAGTTGGCTACGGCCTTGCAAAACTTTTGCTCGCTTTCCTAGGGCAAACGATTCTTGCTTTGAATGAGTCACATCCCCTTTTCAGTCATACAACCTTTCTCATAAGCTCGCCTGCCTGGGAAGGCACCTTTTCCCTTGCATTTTGCTTGGTTTTGCAATGAAGCTAGTGCTTTCCTAAAGCTGAGCTTCGGGTCTCTCCGGCGCTCGGTGGTGCAGCGTCTTGGCGGCTCACACGCTGTATTAATGGGAGGGACAGGAGGATTGTGCAATTACTGCTGGGGCTATTTTAACGGGAGCTGTTAGAAACTGGGGCTTCTGTGGAAGTACAGCCCTGTGCAAAGTCCAGGGAGAATTGGGTTCGTCTGTTCTGAAGCGTTTGAACCTCAAAATGCTAAGATGCTTTGTGCAGGGGAAGGAGGCGGGAGGGGAATTGTGGCTTTTAATTAGATATTAAGCGATGCGCACACACTTTGTTTTCCTGGCTGCAACCGTTGGATGTCGGGTTGCCAAACTGTTATGGCTGTGACGCGTTTGGGAGCTCTAACCGATCCCAGGGTACTCCCCCTGTCGTCGTCATCCCCAATTCTTCAGTGTATTTAGTATCTTAATGCCTCTTGTGGGTCTCTCAATTAAAGATAATTCTGCATCCCCAGGGTACGTCCTTCGAGACTGCATGTGAATTCTGTGATATTTTTATAGTGCAGAAATGGGTCAAAAATCTCATCTGGTAACTCTTGGGGACCGGGGCTCTTTTTAAAAATACACAGTTAGGACTTTGCAGCTTTTTGGTCATTCTAGCGCTAGTCTCATCTGAAGCATTTTCTATCCACTTGCAGGTGATCGTCCTCTTTTTTCTTTTTTTTTTTTTTTTTTTTGTAGGCTGCTTTTTATCTTGAACTTCTTTGCCTGTGAAATTGTGCAAGTCATTTATAAAATGTATTAGCTGTATTTGAGCACTTAATGATGTGAGGACTTCAATCATACAACCTTAAAATCGGATTCAAACAAGCAATTAAGGCAAACAACAATGTATTTAAATTTAATCTCCCACAATCTCCCACAAATGACATATAAAGGTGGTTGCTTCCTCCTTTCGCTGTTCCAGACTGCTGCTTATGGGTAATTCTGACAATTCTTCATGTTAATATTGAAATGTTAGAATCCGGGTAATTCATACCAGTATGATTCATTGTGATCTAACCTGACCTCGTGCACAGTTTCCTAGAACGTCCTTCAATACCTGTTCAAACCAGAGCATGTATTAAATAATGATGATCCAAGCTTGATTTAAAGTATTTCCAGTGATGGAAAATTCACCACAGCCCTTGGTTAAGTTGTTCTAATAGTTAATTGCTCTTGCTGGTAAGGAAAAATTATGCCTGATTTCCAGTCTAAACCTGTTCAGCTGCAGCTTCCAGGCTGTGGATCTTGTTTAATTTTGGTTTGTTAGACAGAAGATCCTTCCTATCAAATTTCTGATGTCTGCAGGTGTTTACTGACCGATCAAGTCACCCCTTAACAGTCCTTTGGACTAACTAAATACATGGAGCCCCGAGCCTCTCCCCGTAAGCCCTAGTGTCTTATGTGCATTTTTTTGTTGTCCTCTGTTCTGTACATCAGCTTCACGTTGAAGGTTTTTAAGAGCCTTTACAAAGCCTGCTCACCACTAACGCGCAGCAGTACCGCTGTGGAAGCGCAGTGGTACCCGAGAGCCGTACAGACTGTCGTGGAAGGATCGTCAGCTAAAATTAACGTTCGGTGAGCTGTGCTTTCTGGGGCAAGTGGAGTAAAATTGGATCATTGCGATGAGCTGGACAGGGTACCGCAATTGGTAGCTTTCAATATGAAAAATAAATCCGAATTTGAAGTTGGGGGGCTGACGGTGGCCAGCAGCTGCCCGCAGGGCTCGACCTCTGAAGCATGTGCTGCATTGTTCCCCCAGCAGCTTGTGCTGCCTTTTGGCACTACACCCTGACCCTTGACAAGCCACCGTGGATGATCCCATCAGAAATGGCTTCTTTGTATGGACTCACGTTAAAGTGAAGCCTTAATAAGGGTCAGAGGGGACTGCACCTATCTCGGTTTGTTCCCTCATTCCTAAAGATCGAGACCCTTGTCTTCAAACATAGGGGACAGAAAGGGGCAGTCAGCTCTGTGTGATCTGCTACAGAAACATCCTGACTTTCCCACAGGTGCTGAGTGCCTACGGCTCCTGTTAAAGTCTGTACGATCCAGAGTTTTGAACTTTCTGGAAGGTAATCTGATTTTTTTTTCACCCAGGCACACAAATGCATGCCCAAGCGGTGCTGTGTTATTGCTTACAGCACGGGAAGCTTTTTCCTAGCTCAAAACCAAACCAGACTGTGGCCGGCACTGGAGAGGGAGGCTTCCTCGCAGGATTCAGCCCTTTTTTTTCTGATTCTTTAAGACCTTTGGGTGCATTTTGCTTAGGAAAAAAGCCATTTGAATGGGAGGGTGCCGGTGGCTGTTGAGCCTCTTGGGTTATCAGGGTCAACAGTTTTGGGATAACGCCTGGCTCACTGGGTCCTTTCACCGCCATGGCTCCAGCGTCTCTGTTCCTTTCTCTCACTTCTAAACCTTTGATCCCGTGCCCAATCCATTGGCGTGTTTTTATCCCTGCAGATTCCTGCTCTTTTGGGTATTCCCCTGTTCGAGGGGTGCGCTCTGGTTTTGGTGGGTTGCTCCCGTGGGAACAGGCTGCTTTGGTCCTCAGTAAATTGGGATGGGCATGGGGACAAATCGCCCAGTTCTTTTCCGCTCTCTAAAATTAGTGATCTGCCTCTTGCAAACGCTGCGTTGAGATGTGCAGTAACATGGGAGGTCACGGGAGAAGGAGAGGGGAGAGCAGAGCCAAACTAATTTGAACAGGAGACTGGAGACAATTACTATTAAGCCAGCGGTGATTTCCCCCCTTTAGTTTAAAGGAAAAAAGAATTATCTTGCTTCCCGGTATAATTTCTTTGAACCATTACCTGCTTCTTTCCCTCTGTAGCTGGTACCAGCCCCGTCTTTTATGCTGTATGCCCTTTTTTTCCTCCTTTTCTATGTAGAAAAAGGCTGTAAAGCTAACTTTTCAGGGAAGTGAGGAGGGGGAAGAGGGAATGGCCACTGAAAATAGATGAGCAGATCTTGCTGTACCCCCCGTATCATCACAGCTAGTGGGCTTTCAGTGGGTATGTAAACATGTTTTGGTTGCTAGGTCTTTAATGGTTGTTATTTTTGGATTCTGTACGCGATCACTTCCCAACAGTGAGTCTGCTGCGACACAGCTGACTTCTAAATGTGCCGCATATACTGCTTTTAAAAAAGATTCTTCTCAAGGTCATTGATCTGGTTTCTTCTCTAAGGGGACAGGTGACACATTTTTCCCTGACCCCCCCTTCCCCCAGCCCTCTCTACGTAGAGGGAGAAGAGCTATTCTCCAGCAGGGATGTGGCCCCCCACCCCGTGCCACTGCCTGAAGGCGAGGAGGGAGGTAGAGGCAGGCCCCTGCCTCCGAAATGTCTGCAGAAGAGCAATGCCTCAAGTAAGGCTTTCATTGAATCTGCTAAGTGAAACTAATCTGGGGGTGGTGTGCGCTGCTAATCATTATTAAAATCTTCTAATCCCATTTAAAACATCCTGAGCGATGAAAGGCAGCCTTAGTGCAACCAAGTGTTAGCTGTAAACTGTAGCATTGCCATTAAAGTTGAAAGGTATTAACTAAGTCTGCATAATGAGGCAGCTCTGACTCATTAACACAAGGTAATTAAAACTTTGGCCGTCCTGTCTAAGGCATCTAGAGCAAAGGTCTGGAAGGAAGGCGCGGGCTTCAGATGCTCTGGTGCCGCTTCATTACCGTGAGCTAGTGGTGGCAGAGGGAAGTAGCTCAATGCCTGGCTCTATATCCTCCCTTATAAAACTGTGTTAAACCCTTCTCAGGGTGCCTGATGGCTGATTTGGGCAGGCAAGCTGGCAGCGTGAAATGTAGGTTGGTGGATAGCCGTGCCTCTCCGACAGTCGTGCCTCTTCTGCTCCTCTCATGAAAGCTTTGGGAGCGCTGGATGCTTGAGGCTTTATGAAGTGTCATAACAGCGGAACATCTTTATTAATAAAACTGTTTTGTCCACTCCTGTTGCCCAAACTAATGGAGAGGCCATAATATTGAATATATTCTACTGGGACCAAGACTTTCCCTAGCCCCTGCCTCCCCACTCCACACCATTTCACTTTTTATAAGTGACACAAATCATCACTCAGGTCCTAATTCCAGCACTACAGTTATACAGGCCATTTCCTCAAACAATCGTTTGCTTTTTAAACCCACCCTTAATTTAACAATTTATTCCCCTTAAACCCATGCCACTGAGGTGATGCTCGTGCAGTGTCCGAGAAACGCGAAGCCCAGAACTTTCACGAGGCCAGAAAATGATTTTTCTTCTTTGTGGTTTATTGTATCCTCTTATCTTGTCATATAATAGAAATAATGTTTATGGCATTG